CCGTAAAATCTGTATTAGAAGCCGCATCCCTAATAGAAGTCGCACCCATTTTTTTCGAATAATTGAGAACCAAAAATTCATCATTTCTCATATGTGTAGATGCTCTAATAGAAGCCGCATCCCCTCTGTTGCATTGTACTATTTTAATAGAAGCCGCGGTTTCTAATACAGATTTTACAGTAGTAACAAATATTATTTTTTTACCAAAAATGACAAAAATATTCATCAAAACTATAAAACTGATATATCAAATATCAAAGCAATTAGACTACTGGTTTTCAACATATATTGATTCATATCAGTGAGACTGAAAATGTCAGATGGTGAAGGTCAGAATGCCTAGCAACCAGTAGTGGGAAGCGATAAAATAGATATGAGGGAAGAAACGTTACACCAATAACACCCTTTAATGATTTTAAACACTGAAAGAGTTGTGGAGTTTGCCAAACAACAAAACAAAAAAGTTTAACAAATTTACAGAGAATAAATATTTTGCGTGCAGTGAATATTACACATGCATTATTCAAACTTCAAACCCATTTTCCAAGCCAACACGCCATCAATCTCAATACAACAACAAAAATCCTCTTTCAAGAACCCATTTTCAAAGCCAATATAACCAAGAAACCCCTCATTTAAACTCAGAAACCCACTTTCAACCCAATCAACCAAGAATCCTCTTTCAAACCTAAGTACCCACTTTCAAACCAAATAAGCCATGAATCCCCTCTTTCAAACCCAGGTACCCATTTTCAAACCCAATATAACCAAGAAACCCCTTTTAAAACCAGGAACCCATTTTCAAAACCCAAAATAACTAAGAAACCCCTCTCAAAGCCAATATAACCAAGAAACCCCTCTATTAAATGTAGGAACCCATTTTCAAATGCAATATAATCAAAAAACCCTCTTTCAAACCCAATATAACCAAGAAACCCTTTTTTCAAACCCAGAAACTCACTTTCAAACCCAATATACTAGTAACCAAGTAATGCATTTTCTAACCACAAAACCCACCTTCAATCCCAATATATCCACCAACAGCAGCCGCTCGGTTCTCTACCTTCTCCTGCTCATGTTCCAGGAATTGTCGTACATTGATTCCTTGAGCTTGGGATGGTTGTCTAAGAAATCTCTCTGGGATTCTTGATGTGGTATCCTCTACCTTCGTCATACCAAACCCAAGGTTCAATAACAGTTCCTCTGGATCATTACGAGCCTGTAGTAATTCCTCAACACTGTAAATTCAATAATAAACAAATAATGTACATAATGTACAGGTAAAAATAAAAGTGTTTTTTTTTAATTGAGAATTAAAACATTATATAAGAAATGGTGTAAAAGTGCATCAAATACTGTAAACTTTTTTTAATTTTGCTGTAAGGAATTTTCATAAACTTTCACGAAAGTCACTGAAACTCCATGTTGTAGGACTCCAGAAAAATGTTTACTGCTTCAAAATTTTGCTACTTTCACAGGTATGTGAAATTCATGAAAATTTGTCGCTCACACAATTGAAGCAATTTACATACTTTTATTGGAATTTATGATTGTCAAATATACTGTAGTGACAATACTATTTTTCAGTTGCACATATATCATTTCAAAAATTTCTGTTCTAGTGAAAATAATGTCAAGGTTATTTTATTACATAAACTAGATTACTATACATCTGTCACCGAAACGCCATAAGTTACAGCGTGCCGAAATTTTGCGGTATTTTACGGGATATTTTTATCCTACCATATTAGGAAATGCGAATTCCAACTATCAAATTATTACATGCATAAGTGTCCTCTAATAATGAAAACAAACATGGCTGCCACCAGGGTTTGACCAGAAGAAGTTTGCTGATTCTGTTCTAAACAAATTGAATTTCGGCATTCTCATGATGTACAAAGGAAAAGATGTATAATAATAAGGTTATTACGAGGGTACCTCAAAGTATGCAGTAGGCAGTACGCTGTCGCATCAACATCCACTGCGCCTTGGTCGATACTGCTGCTGCACTGTTATGGTACAAACTTTGAGGTATCTTCGTGATAACCTCATATAATTTTACAATTTTTTCACAAACCACATTGTCATCAAAATCATAAGTTTTTTTTAACTGATTTGAAGTCAATTCATAGATATTTGCTGTAATGTAGTGACTATCATTTTATTAATTCAGAGTTCCAACAACTCATGTTCTCAAGTGACAAAAGCAAGGATGTGATGTATGAAATACAAATAGGTCTAATTACTGTAAAACATGTTGAAAAAGCGACATGCAATTTTAGCGAATTGTGGTAAAATGATGTAATAGTGAAATGTTGATTTAGCGAATCTCTCTTGTCATTGTTGATTTCCTGTTTTCACAATACTTGTCTGTCGCGTGCCAAAACAATGCTACCACCTGTATAAAACAAAGAAAAACTGTCAAGTGTAACTAGGAAGCGCTCCAGATTTTTATCTATTTACTTTTCAACAAAGTGTATCTATCATGTCAGTACGTTTTCTTTGTGTTGTTTACAAAGTGTGTGTGGAGAAAAAAAAAAGTTGTTTGGTGGCCATTTTTAATTTATAATAAAGTCATTAGCGACATCTTTAATTAGCGAATCAGTTCTCTCGCTAAATTCACGAAAAAAACATGTTTTACAGTAATCAATTTGGTTTATATTGTAATCAGGCTAATGTCACTATCAAAAAAAAAAAACTTTCCAAAACAGTACTCAACATGACCAAACATCAAACCATATTTTCACTTCATTAAAGCAACATTTAGTCACAAACACTGTGCTTGAAAAGTTCATTATAATTTTGTAATTACCTTGATATTGTTGTTGTGGTTGTCAATTCTGACAGATCAGATGTCATACTGCTATGTTTTTCCGACATCATGGATAACCTTGATCTTTTATCATTGACTGTTATTGGTGTTGAACTTGTTGTTCGACCAGCATATGCTAAGATTTCTTCATTTGTCAAAGACTGTTTTGCACTGAGAAAAAAATGAGAAATACATGAGCACAATTTTTAATGTTTAATCAAAGACACAGGGACACTTGCAACAACAGCCTTTTGTTAAATGTAATGTCTCTTGAGATCTGAATGGAATTTTCAACATTCAGCAAGTGAGATTAACTATTGAATATTTCAAAAATTGGTAAAATAAACTACTAGAAAATGTGTGATATGGGAGTTGTGGACTTGTTGCACACATCCTAGATACCTATGTAATAAACATGATGCACTCAAAAATGTTTCATGGAACATTCTCTTCAATGTTTATAGTAGCTGCCTGTCCCTGTATTTCCTTGCATACAAACATGCAAACTGAACATAGTGTCTCGATATACAAGTCACATGTTTATGTTTTTTTGTAAGCACTTCGTCCAGCAACTGCATGGTAGATAAAAACTAGTCATCCACAACAGAATATAAATTAATGGCATTGTACGCTGTTGAAAGTGCCCGACATGCAAGTTCCCAAGTTTAATAATTTAAATACAACTACATTGTCACATTAGATCGCAAGCTAGTGTTCTGTGTTCAACATTTGTTATGGATATGCCAGTTAGAAAAAATGGAAACAAATATTGTCTCAGTTCCAGTTTGCTTCTACAAAAGTCTTGATTTGTGAAATTAAAATGTTTTCTTTCTTTATTTCAGTATGTTGTTATTGAATAAGTGAAAACGTGATTTGATGTGAAATCAATTTACATATTATTCATTAGAGGAATCACATACTGAAGCCTGATTTACTAAGACACAAATCTGAAAAACTTATATAAACTGACCTAGGATTAGGAACTGCAACCGACATGGGTCGACCAATTATCTCTGGTTGAGTGTAATGCATTGCGTCAGCGCCCAATGAGAGATCATCTTCACTACTTGAGGATCGAATCAATTTACCTGGAAATAAATAAATATATAATAAAAATTTAGATATAAATGAAGCGGGAAAAAAATCAACACAAAATAATAAAAATAATGGGCATGAAAAGAAGAATACATCAAGGCAATAGACTAAACACTTAGAAATAGAGTTTTATACTAAAAATTGTGGACGATCGTGAATACATCCCTGAACGTCACTATTCAACAGACTGAATTTGCTCTTAGTTTAATACCACCGAATGTCAACACCATTCCTGCAGGATTCAGAAGGAGTCGTACAATCCCCAAGTGTCAAAAAACCTCATGTCTTTTTTTGACATTACCATGGTAACGACTGCATCAAAGCTCGATATGAAAAATAATATCACAAGTTCATGAATAAATTAAATAGGTACTCATAGTGACCTTCATCTGCTACAATTGGCCATAGGCATTGATGGTACTCAAAGTTGTGAGAGAAATGTTATTTTTGAAAACAATTCAAGATATTGTAGGTTTATATAAACTTGGTACAAATTTAATTTTTAGTTCAAGTCTATTTGTATTTGTATCAATTAGGGACGACGTCAAAAGATCGATGTCAGATAAAAAACTTAATTCCTTTAGTTTTTTTCCAAAACTCCCCTACCCCCCACTGAAACTTAATTGATAAATATTGGTCATGGCGTCAGACTACATTCACCATTAAATACAAATTGATAATTGGACAGTAGTATTGCATAGCAGTTGGTTGTCGGGTGGGTGTAAAAAGATTTTACAAATGCACCTCATTTGACGCACAGATTTACACTCGAACCAAACCATTTTTCTGTTTTTTTCCCTTTTCGGTTATTTCTGTACATGATTGGATAGAAAAAAAACAACTACAAATACTCCAAGATTTTTTTGACTTCATTAAAAAATAAAATCGTTTTTGTAGGATGGAAACTTTTTGAGGTCAAAACCCCCCACCCCCAAACTAAAGGAAATAAGTTTTTTATCCGACATTGATCTTTTGACGCCGTCCCTTAATGTGAAGCATTCTCAATTTAACTGGAGCAGTAAGCATGCCCTCTGTGTTGAACAATAAAAATACTTTTGTTTTTATAATGATGGAGATTTAAAAATTTTTTTGTCTATTACTTGTAACACAAGGATAACATATTTGCTCTATTAGAAGCACAACAAGAAGTGCATAAACTAAAAATTATATAATCATTAAAATATGACTTATTTTAACTATAGAGAAATCTCTGTAATTTGCACATATCAAAATGAAACTGATTGTCTCAATAAATCAGCTTGATACAAGTTTGCCTTATAGTATTTTTACTGTTTCCCTCAACATGTTTCAAGTATACAAGAGATGTCCAAATTTAACAATAAACACAAACTCTACCAAACTACACTGTGGGTGCTGGGTTTTTCCTCATTTTTTTCTGGCTATCAGTGCAGGCTTTCAGCATGCATAGTGTTCAGTTAAAAATTAATTTCAGAATCAAAATGTCTTGTAATAAATAAGAAATTCCAGAATATTCCTTAGTTTAAATCCAATAAATTAGGATATAACATTAACAACAAAGAACTACACTTGTCACTTTAGAAGATGCTTTAAAATGAGATTGGATCCCTCACATAATTCCCTGTATCAGAGAATAAAATGTCAAAAACATACAAAGAAAAGACAAGTTGGTCCAGTAGCACAGAGTATGTATGTTTTCATTGCTAACTATTTGATGAATATTTAGGATATTTTTGATAAAATCACCATGATTTGTGTCGTAATCTCTTTGAATGCCAATGTCAAATTTTGTTACCTTTCACAGACTAAACTGCAATTTTTATCCGAAAACGTTTATCCAAATTTTTAGCCAATTGCAAATTGTCTCCATTTGGACCAAAATTTACAAAGAAATAATCAAAAATATGTACATGTGCAAATCCTTGCACCAAAATTTTGGCTAGAAAATAAATGTTTTTCCGCTTCACAAGGCATGGTCTCTCGTAAAGTTAAATCTGTTAACAGTAATTACAATCAGAGCATGACAGACCCGCTGGTCTCACAAAGTTTGATTGACAGTTACAGCTCGTTTTAATTTACCTTCTAGAATAATGAAGCTGGTGAGAAATAGGTCAGAGTTGATCATCGCTAAGTTGCATGTAGTCAAGCACAATGAAATACATCACGTAGAGGTTAAACGTATCGACGTCTTACATTTTGCTGAATCAACACCATGATGAATCAATAGATTTTGATTTGTACACTTGAATTATTGTCCCCACTATGTCTGCTGTCACCTAACAGCTATGCAATTTTTTTTAGGTTTCAAAAAGTTTGGACATGTACTTTTATTGAAAATATGATGTAAAGTGCTTTAACTTTAGGTAAGTGTACATGATTTTAATGAATATAGGTAAAACAGTGAAATTTGGGAAAGTGAACATTCCAATTTTGGATCTTAAAGACCGAGAATCATCAGAACTTTCAAATGATGATATTTGAAAGTTTATAGAAATTATGGAGGATATTAAAATAAAATTGAATTCTACATCTAAAGATATGCAGACAATAGAAATATAATATTATACATGTTTAAGGAATTTATGAAATATCGAAACACTAACCAGTTCTTACATAGACTCACTCATTAATATCTCTCAAAATGCACAGCTGTCAAATTTGGAATCATTTTGGAATTTGCACATGTTCATCCAATATCACCTTACTTACATAACCTCATCTTATAAGTCATTGACTGAATATAATATGAGATAACTAAAAAAAATGTTATATACAGTTTTAAATGTATTCAAATTGCAAATTAAGACTCAGATTTCGGAACTAACTGTGAAATATTGACTTTTTAAAAGCAAGATGAACCCATAAAAGCATTCAGTTTTAAATTCAGAAAGGATCACCTAAATTGTACAATCCTGATAAATGAGTAATTTTTGTTGTCATTTAATTAACTACTAACTCTGATTAAAATATATATATATATAAATAAAATACTAAACTATAAACAATAGAGCATATTTGAAAAAACAACAACATGTAATTTCTCAGATTGGATTGATTTGTTACTATAAAAGTACAGCAATGAAATATGAACCAATTGACAACTTACAATAACATTACTCAAAAAGAGATGCTCTGTCAAGTATGTATCATTGATGGATTATGAAAACCTGGCCAGACAAATAAATCACAACTTTCATTAAATTTACACCCACAGGAAAAAAAAGTTTTTAATGATGATTTATTTTGGGATGTTGCTGATTGGAATTAAGTTAACAAACCACACTAACATGAAATGTAATCTACAAAGAACCAGATTGAATGTGACTATCTCATTATGGTATTTCAAAGATGGTAAAATTTAACAAACATCATATTCTCTTTTATTTTGCTCACCGTTAACTAATATTAGAAATTTATTGACGAATTCTGCAATATACACACACAGAACATCCAAGACTGTCCACATCTGTAACATGTTTTTTAAAGTACATTACCTTTAGCTAATTTCTTTCGTTCTTTATCTTCTGTTACCATGGCAGCAGGTGGAGGTGATACAGGACTGTCTGGTATGGCTACATTTTCTGAATCCTTGGAGTCCAGCCATAGACGGAAAGCTCGCTCACCAGAAGATGAGGATGCAAGGGGACTTGTTAGGTTACTAGATGATATGGAATCTACAGGAGAAAAGGAAATATTGTAGTTCATTTTTTTAATTGGTAACATCAGGGTCAATGTCAACATCATTTGGAGGGGGACATATAGCTCCAGTAAAACTACATTATCTGACATAAAAAAAAGATTACGAAATAATTTCATCCTTTGCAACACAGCTGCGTATGCCATGTTTGTTAAAATTTCAACAAATAATTTATTTATTATTAACGTACACAGCCCATCCTTTTTTAGAACGAAAACCATGAACAAAATTACCACTATAACACGCTTTCAATTGCTCAAAGACAAGGTTAAAAAATATGTAAAATATTGATAATTTCAGTGATGTTTGTTGTGAATACTGTTTGGATATACTGCCCATTATCTGGTCACTCAATATTCCTCACCCAGTCACCTTTTAATCCATGCTTGTTTCAGATTAAGATAAGTAATTGTCCCGCTTTGTGCTGGTTTGTGTGAAACCCCAATAATACGCTCAGAATGATCCTTATATAGACCAGTTGGAAAACATTCAATGACGTTCAAGAGATTGGATTAATTCACACATCAACAAATTTCTGTTTCTAAACTGAGAGACTGCGGGTGGGGTTTCTAAAAGCAAATTATTGTGACCAGTTTAAAGTGAATTCAGGGACCAACTTAATTATAAAATAATAATATTTGATTCTCACCTCCACTTCTAAGTCTTCCCAGGGACTGACGTCTGGGTGATAATTCTTCAACTCTCTCATCACTTTCAGCTTTATCTGTTAGACACTGTGGTTGGTCAACCAATTTAGGTCTCTTTGAATCCAGGCTCTCCTCATCAAGAGGAGACAAAACCCCTAGCTCTTCATATTTATCAATGCTTGGCAGACTACTCACGTAGTCAGCAACTCGCTTTTTCCAGTCTCTTCGCCGTGTTCGTGTGGTATTTGTTGCCTTGCTGGAATTCCCTAGAAGTGCAGCTATGTCATCGGTTCCATCCAAGTCTGTTGCTATGGCAACTAAGTCACTCTCCTCATCCAAGGAGGTTGTGTTGCCCTCAGCATCACACGGTGTGTCATCTTTCACATCGCTGCATTTGACGTCCCTATTGTCATTTTCATCAGTTCGAAGAGAAGTTTGAAAATCCTTAATTTCTTCAATTCTATCCATCATATATTAGGACCAAATAAGATCAACTCTGTAATCCAGAAACATTCAAGTTTTAATATTTTAATATTTTGGTACAAAGCACTGTTTATCTGCTGGAAATGATTCCGGACAAATTTACAGTCTACAATTTTAGACAAAATTACCATAAATTTGATCAAGTCACACAAAATAAACAACCTATAGTATTACCTATACCTACCTACCTACATGTACCAGTATGAGTACCTTTGTACAAACTTTCAACTGTATCAGAACTGAACATGAACTAAAAAAAATGTTAACCAGTTTGAATCATAACCCAATATACAAGATCCTCGTACAAAGTTTGCATGAAAACACTTTGTTCATCTCCAAGAATCATATTTGTGTATCAGAATTTAGCAAATTTGAGAAAAATAAAAAAAATGACTGCCAGTTGGCCATATTTCATCAAATGGTAACAAAAATTGACACGGTTTTTGTGTTGAGATTGAATGTGATAAGCATGACAGAGAAATGACGCTGGACATATGTACATGAGCACAGAACCCAAATTAATAGTCCCCAATGTCAGACAGGAACAAATATAGTGGTTGAATTTGTTTCTTTTGTTTAGTTCATACAGAGCATAGCGGAAAAAAGATGCAGCTCTAAAAGGTATATTAACTCTATGATGTCATGTGATTTGTCCATCACCATCTTGCATTGCAGTAAAACAGTTGATATCGGTTATTACAACTACACTAGAAATAATATATCAGTCAAGTAAAAGTCATGCCAAGAAAACAGTTGATATCGGTTATTACAACTGCACTAGAAATAATATATCAGTCAAGTAAAAGTCATGCCAAGAAAACAGTTGATATCGGTTATTACAACTGCACCAGAAATAATATATCAGTCATGTAAAAGTCATGCCAAGAAAACAGTTGATATCGGTTATTACAACTACACTAGAAATAATATAGCAGTCATGTAAAAGTCATGCCAAGAAAACAACTCGTACATTGTAGCTAAAAAATCCAAATGTGGTTTAATTATATCTATAGAAAACACTCAGCCTGCAGCTGAGATAGCTCCGCTGTTAGCAATGCACATTTCAATTAAAGAACTGAATATATCATTAGAAAATGAACAATATGTATAATATCAAAGCAATTTGACTTGCTGTTTTCAACAAGAATTCAAAAATATCACTTTCTACCAAAAATGACAAAAATATTCATCAAAATTAGATACTTGAAAATATCATCACGAAAAGAACAAATCTGAGAGATTGTTGACACGGACGACGAAGGACAATCACTCATATAATAAGCTCCGCTCAACTAATTTGACAGCGGAGCTAAAAACAAGCTTATTTGATAAATACAAATTCATAAAACAATGTAAATCTTTCTGTCACGACAAATCTATTTATCACACACGTTCAATGACCTATATAAATGCATAATTAATGAGATGATATAATGTTTTGTGTCATTAATTGTAATTATTGTGGTGCAGAGAATCCAACATAATGACAACAGAGTACATGCTGAATGCCCAATAGATTGTGGTTTTCCTTCAACCTTTAACCTTTGAATGCCAAAGTCAACATTTGTCAACCATCACAAAATAGATGTACAAGAATATAAAAATCTTTATTATAACCAAAAGTCAACCAAATTGTTAACATATGCATAAATATATGCAAAATGTTGGACAAATGGTTTCAGAAAAAATTATGTCATTTATAAATTGTTAAGTTAA